TCCACCCGCCTCAGCCTCCCAAAGTGCTGGGATTACAGGCGTGAGCCACCGCGCCCGGCCATGACAAATGTTTTCTAGCAAAAGGTTGGGGTGGAGTTGAGAGCAGCCTTTTCATATTACACACACAGGCCTTCCATAAACGGCCAGTACCTCTTCCCAGAGGGTGGCGGGCACCTCCAGCGGGCCAAACGTGGCCTGTCATTCTACCATTTCTCTCTTCCGACAGCAAAGTTTTGTAGAACGAAGACCAACCATCCCGATGGCGACTAACCGTTCCACCACTGACGTTCGGAACTCCGCTCACCTCCCAGGCCCCTTACGGCCTTTGTCCGTTGTCATCAGGACTAGGTGTGTCTCGCCCGATGGGGACAGAGTGGTCACCGGGACTTGGATCTGCACGGCTCCGTGGCCTAGAGGTGGCCGAGCCTGCCCGCGCCCCTAGGCGGCCTTCCCGGGCCCTCTGTGACCTCATGACCTCTGCCACGTGGCGTGCCGGTGGCTGCCATGTTTCCTGGCCTGCCAGCCAAAGGTGCTGCGTCCCAGCGGCTCGGCGGGGGTTAAGTTAAAGCCCGGCAGGCTTGGGCCGGGGATACCAGGCGGCCAGCGGGGTTCGGGCTGGGAGAGGTCACTGCCGCCATCAGTCACCGAGGTGGGGTGGGGAAGACAGGTTTGCCACGGCTTCAAGGCCCGGGCCTGGCCAGTGGGCGGCCACAGCGGAGGCCACTGGTGTCTTCAGGGCAGAGGGCATGGCCTGTCCCAGGGCCCCCCAGCTCACCCGCCGGCCGGGGCCCCCCTGCTCACCCGTGCCCGGGCCGGAGGGCCTGGAGGGCCCGGGGAGCTCTCCGAGCTCTGCGTCTGTCCGGGCTCTCTGCCGGATGGGAACTCTAGAACTAAGTTTTGATGCTGCCTCTGCCCGCTGCTGGCACAATGATGGATTCCATGCAGCAAGCTCTGGACCAACTGAGAGCCACAGGCACCTCTACGCCCTGGAGCCTCCTTAAGGAAAAATGACGATGGGCAAGACAGATACACAGAGGCCAAGAGGCGAAATGGCACCACATGGCATCCTCGTGCAAACTGCTGGGAAGAGCATAAGACGAAGCATCCAGAAGCTTCTGTCAAGCTCACAATTTTCTACAACATGCTAAAGCCGTACTCGTTAAACTTACGCATAGGCATCTGAGAGAATGTTGTTCAAAAGCAGAGTGGGATTCAGTGGGTCTGCGATGGGACCCAGGGTCCCGTATTTCTAACAAGGTCCCCAAGGATGGCCGAGCTGCTGCTCCTGGTACCCACCCAAGCGTCATCCTTGAGTATTCCCTCACAATCAAAGGAGCACATCCTGGCCTAACCATAAGTTGTGTTGTAAAAAAAACTTGGGACCTTATGAAAAAAAAGGATGCAATGCTGAATGAAAACCATGAAAAGGATATGTTTACAGCGTGGACTCAACAAAAGACTTTGACAAAGGGATTTTGTCACAGCTGAAGAAATGCAAGGACGCAGTGGCTCATGCCTGTACTCCTAGCACTTTAGGAGGCTGGGGCCAGAAGATCGCATGAGACCAGGAATTTGAGACCAGCCTGGGCAACAAAGCAAGACCCCATCTCTACAGAAGAAAAAACTTAAAAGTTAGCTGGGCGTGGCTGTGCACACCTTAAGTCCCAGCTACTCAGGAGACTGGTGGGAGGATCGCCTGAGCCCAAGTAGCAGTGGCACTGAGAGGGGAGACCCTCTCACCTCCTTCAATTTCACCTCTCCCCACCCCCAACTTCCAGATGGAAAGGAGAGTGAAGAAGGAAAATAAATAAAATAAAACATCAAAAAGCTGGGAAAATGACTCCCTCTTTAGTTCTCAGCATCTCTGCTATCCATTAACCTTGAAAGAGCTACAAATGAATGTTATCCCTGCCGGCTGGAGCCCGCCACTGGTTCACACCCCCATGTCTCCACGGGCCAGGCTTCCTACTGGAAATACCTCTGCCAACAAACAGCGTGTTGCTATTGCCTTGTCTCTGTAAGCCCCCCTCCCTTGCTGGTCTCCACTCGTGTTGCATGTGAATTACCAAAGCAAAGAAGCCAAAAGATTGTAAGGTCAGATGTCCAGCAAGTGGACAGTGACATAGTTCTGCCTCAGTTTCCCCTTTAGTGTTATAAGCCTATAAAAGGAGAGAAAAGCTGCAGCTCAGGATGCTCGGTGAATGAGGCTGTTGCCCACCGCAGCTCCAGGCTGAATAAAAAGCCACTTCCTTCCTGAGTTCGCTGTTCAAGAGGTTTGTTCTCCATCACTCCTGCTACAGCACCATCATGTAGTGAGCCATAATCGTGCCACTCCACTCCAGCCTGGCGGACAGAGTGAGAAGATGGTCCCACCACCCTCTCCCGAAAAAACAGATAGAAAAGAAGAAAGAGGGCGCAGTGGCTCATACCTATAATCCCAACACTTTGGGAGGACGAGGCGGGCAGATCACGAGGTCAGGAGTTCAAGACCAGCTTGGCCAACATGGTAAAACCCCATCTCTATTAAAAATACAAAAATTAGCTGGGCATGGTGGCGCGTGCCTGTAGTCCCAGCTACTCAGGAAGCTGAGGCAGGAGAATTGCTTGAACCAGGACCTGGGAGGAGGAGGTTGCAGTGAGCTGAGGTAGCCACTGCACTGTAGCCTGGGCTACAGAGCGAGACTACGTCTCAGGGAAAAAAAAAAAAGGGAAGGAAGAGGAGAAGGATGAAGGTGAAGAGGAGGAAAAGGAAGGACTAAAGACTTAAGATAACGGCAATGACAAGGGAGTTGATTCTAGCCGTTTTCCTTGTTTGTAAAGCGTTTAGCTGTCCTGGGCGCAACTTGTTTCTTTTGAAAAAATAAGAAACCTGAAATAGCAGACTGTGTATTTATTTTTTACTAAGTCTTCATTTAAGTGAAAAGAATAAAAGGTTTTTTAGACTTCCAGTGCTAATAATGCTTAACAGGCCCAAAGTACCTAGTCTTTAACATTTACTTCTAACTGCAGTATCTCTACTTTGAAATATTTTGTTTATTTCATCCCTTCCTACACTCCAAAATTAAAAACACGTTTCCAGGTCCTCTTTGTTGTTGTTGTTGTTGTTGTTTTTGTCAGGTAGACAAACCAGAACTGGACAGAGAAGATCCTCACACCTGAGTTCCTTTCTCAACTCTCCACCAACTGAGCTGAGATGGAAACAGGGGAGCGAAGTTCTTTCGGTTCTGTTAAAGATACTTTGAGGTATATAGTAGGTGTCTGAAGAATGGCCAGTTTACTGTAATACTCTTTGGTGGGTAAAGAACAAAAATTGAAAGCCTAAAGGATTCCATTAAGAAAAAACGAGCCAGGCGCGGTGGCTCAAGCTTGTAATCCCAGCACTTTGGGAGGCCGAGGCGGGTGGATCATGAGGTCAATAGATCGAGACCATCCTGGTCAACATGGTGAAACCCCGTCTCTACTAAAAATACAAAAAACATTAGCTGGGCATGGTGGTGTGTGCCTGTAATCCCAGCTACTCGGGAGGCTGAGGCAGGAGAATTGCCTGAACCCAGGAGGCGGAGGTTACGGTTAGCCAAGATCACGCCATTGCACTCCAGCCTGGGTAACAAGAGTGAACCTCTGTCTCAAAAAAAAAAAGAAAGAAAGAAAAAAAGAGCACCAGGCGCAGTGGCTCCCGCCTGTAATCCCAGCACTTTGGGAGGCTGAGGTGGGCGGATCACGAGGTCAGGTGTTCAAGACCATCCTGACCAACATGGTGAAACTCCATCTCTACTAAAAACACAAAAATTAGCCAGGCATGGTGGCGCGTGCCTGTAGTCCCAGCTACTTGGGAGACCGAGGCAGGAGAATCACTTGAACCCGGGAATCGGAAGTTGCAGTGTGCCGAGATCAGACCACTGCACTCCAGCCTGGTGACAGAGCAAGACTCTATCTCAAAAAAAAAAAGAGAGAGAGAGAGAAAGAATCGCCTAATAAAATATAGGTGTCTGAGGACCAGTTGTGCAATCAAGCTGGAGCTTCCCATTTTGCAGGAGCTGGGACAGCACAGGGTGGAGGGATATAACGATTCTCTAGACTTCTCAAGACTGCCTTTAAAAAACTACCTCAACTTGGACTTTGAATCAAGTCCAAGCAAGTCTGTATCTGACCTGGAATTAGAAACAGCTTCAGATCCCCGCTGAGTGACTCCAAGAAAGTTTGCTTTGGAGTGGGTGAGGGTCTCACCCAATTACCAAGTCTGTAGGCTGATTCCCAACACTCCTATTATCTGAGTAAAATAAATATAAGTGGAAGGCAAGAGCTCTATAAATACTGGATATCACAATTGTATTTTAAGGTAGAATGGCAGGTGTTCTGTAGAGTCCCTGTAATCACCAGTAACTCTTACAACACTTCATGGGGTAGTATCAGTATTTCCTGACCTGCTGCCGCTAACACACGCCCCCAAGGTCAGCTGGACCAGTACTACTCATCACCGCAGTGCAGCTAACTGGACCGTCCACCGGAAGCGTGGACTCCTCGGGAACAGGCAGGTTGCTATGAATCCCTCGCCAAAAAAAAAATCAGTGCATCCCTCTGGTCCTGTTTCCTCATCCCGAGTTTCCCCGCTGAGAACATAACGTGGCCGGCCCGAAGCTGGAGGCTCCTGACCTCGGCGTGTCCAGGGCTCACCTGTGTCCATCCTCCAGCTGCTGGCACAGAGTGGGCTCCAGCTCCAGCAGGCAGAAGTCGCCGGCGGCAGCGCCGCTGGCCCCTGGGCCGAAGCTCAGGCAGTGCACGGCGGGCAGCAGCTCGGCCGCGTTCAGCTTGGCGATCAGCAGCGTGGCATCCACCTCCTCGCGGGTCCTCTTCATCGCAGCGCCCGGGCGGCTGCGGGTTTGGCGGGCAAGAACGAAGCTCCCAAAGCAGCGGGAAGCTAGGAAACCCGAGTGTTTGGAAAGCGCGCCGAGGCCGCAGAGGACGTGTTTCCGGGGCGGGGCGCGCTGCGGGCGCGCCCTCGGGAAGGCCTGCACGCTCTGGGCGCGCCAGCCCCTCCGTGGGACACGCGGGGACGCCACTGCAGGAAGGAAACGCGGCTTCCCGGGGGCGGTCTCGGCGGAAGCCCGCAGGAGCAGAGGTGCCACCCGGCGGGGTGGGACGCGGATCCCTCGCCCGCCCTTTCCGCTGCGCCCTTGCCCGCGCGCGCCATCCCCGACTCCGGCCCTGGTTCCCAGCAGCCGGCGCTCCGCTTTCCTCTCCATCCACGTTATCTCATCTTCCGCCAGTGGCGGGCCCGGTGGTAACCACTTGGCCTGTATAATTCCGTGATCCCGTTGCTACAACCCTGTAAGGTGGGCCCTTGGTCATTCCCTTTTGCCATTGAGGAAACAGGCTCCTTGCTGGTGATGGCAGAGCCAGGAGGTCACAAAGTCTGACTCCAGCCTAATCGACTGTGGCTCTAAAAGCTTCCTGCAGGGTTTTGTGCAAGTAACCCATGTTCGGGAGCGAGGCCCAGGGTTGACTCGGAAGCAATATCTCACTTCTTTTATTTTTATTTATTTATTTATTTTTGAAGTGGAGTCTCGCTCTGTTGCCAGGCTGGAGTGCAGTGGCACGATCTCAGCTCACCGCAACCTCCACCTCCCGGGTTCAAGCGATTCTCCTGCATGGGGCTAAGGCAGGAGAATCGCTTGAACCCGGGAGGTGGAGGTTACATACAGCTAATGTTTGTATTTTTAGTAGAGACAGGGTTTCACCATGTTGGTCAGGCTGGTCTCGAACTCCTGACCTTGAGATCCACCCACCTCTGCCTCCCAAAGTGCTGGGATTACAAGAAGCATGAGCCACTGCGCCCAGCCCCACTTACCGCTTTTAAAACATCTGAATGCATAGGAGTTTGGTGGGATGAAATCCTGAATATGAAAGTAGTTGCCGGATGAGAATTTATTATTGAAGAGAACCGTTGTAGTTACTCTATTAAATGGGAAACATTCCCTACAACTAGAAGCAGTGTAGTGTAGAACCCTGACGTTCGCATCAGACAGGCATGCCTGGGAATCCCAACTCTCTTCAGCGCTTTGTGACCTAAGGCAATTCACTTCATTTCTCTAAGGACAACTTCCTTATCAATAAAAAAAAGGAGATGATAATACCTACTTTCTAAAATGCACGGCTGCTTAATAAATAGCAGCAGTTCATTTTGCTTTTAGGTATCAATTGATTATGAATTTAATTTCCAATTACTGATACGAAATTATTGCCATTAATTTGATATTCTGGCAGAGATTTAGACCTGGGTTCCTCTCATAAAATAGAATGATGATAGTTTTTATTAATTCATTTGCTAAAATTATGTTAATATGTTTTTCTAAAGAAATTTTCTATACCTTTTCAAAAAACATTTGAAGTTGGCTTAATCACTTACCTGGTAGCAGGAAAAAAATTCTTTTATCAAGTTAAAAAATGAACAGTTACCATAAATTTCAAAAGGTCTGTTCATGAGAACAGAATCAGCTAAAATTGATTCTGATCTCATGGACACTGTACTCTTGATTATATTGTTCATATTGTATGTCATGGCACGAAAAAGGAATTTTGTTTACTAAATCATAGTTTATATTACAGCATCACATACGAACTTTTTTCCTTTTCTTTTCCTCCCGTCTTCCTTCCCTTCTTTTTTATTCAATACAGAGCACAGTGACTTCCAGGCATTCCAAAAACTGAAAATTCAGCCTTGGTTTGGATCCTCCTCTTTATTACTGTGACTTTCTAACAGATTTTCTTGCTTTGCATCTCCCTCCCCTCTGCCCATCCATCTCTATACCACGGTCAGATGAATTTTCCCAACATTAAGGTCTGCGGTGACATTACACTCTGCTCTCAGGTCATCAACCCCTCCCTCTCCTGTCAAAGCTCATACTCAAACCTCCCCTGGCTTCTGGTTTTCTGTGCTCTGCGTCCGTTGTGCCTTTCCAGACCACATGGCCCCAAGTAGTCTTCGTACACATCATAGTCTAACCTACATATGGCCCCATCCTTCTCTACTTTTATGCTTGTGTGGCCAGGTGTGTTTTATTTCAGCCGTCATTTACACATTATTATTATTATTATTTGAGATGGAGTCTTGCTCTGTCACCCAAGTTGGAGTGCAGTGGCGCAATCTCACCTCACTGCAACTTCCACCTCCTGAGTTCAAGTGATTTTCGTGCCTCAGCCTCCCAAGTAGCTGGGATTACAGGTTGCGCCCCCATGCCCAGCTAATTTTTGTATTTTTAATAAAGACCTGTTTTGGCCATGTTGGCCAGACTGGTCTCAAACTCCTGACCTCAGGTGATGGTGATCCGCCCACCTTGGCCTCCCAAAGTGCTGGGATTACAGGTGTGAGCCACCGCGCCTGGCCCATTTATACATTAGAAGAGTTTTCATTAACGTTTTGATTTTTCTTCTTTTTGAAAAAATCAGGATATCTCTCAACATGGGATTCATATTTCTGCCTAGCAGCTGGGGGCTGGAGCTGCTAATGGTTTCTTCATAGTTCTCTTCAGGGCTGTGCCAGACTCCCTCAATCTGGAAACTTACATTATTCTTTAGTTCTGGGAAGCTTTATTATATGATTTCCTTGATAAGATCCTCTCACCCCTGCCCCTACCCCAGATTTTTTTTTTTTTCTTCTCTTCTTTTATTTCTTCCCTTGTTGTTTTCTTTCTTTTGATTCAGGGTCTCACTCTTTTGTCCAGGCTTGAGTGCAGTGGCTCCATCTCAGCTCACTGTAACTTCTGCCTTCCAGGCTCAAACTATCTTTTCACCTCAGCCTTCCAAGTAGCTGGGACTACAGGCGAGGGCACCACCATGCCTGGCTAATTTTTGTATTTTTTCTAGAGACAGAGTTTCACCATGTTGGCCAGGCTGGTCTTGAACTCTGGGACTCAAGTGATCTGCCCGTCTCAGCCTCCCCCAAGTGCAGGAATTACAGGGATGAGCTACAGTGCCTGGCCTGTTCTATATTTTGGAAATCTACTTTTTATATTTTCTTATACAGACATGTAAGTTTCAAGATCAGCTACTTGGTTTTAGAAAGATAAGGAAAATGGTAGAAAAAGTGGAGCAAAATGTTCACAATCGGTACATCCTGGTAAAGCGAGTAAAGTTTCAGGGAAACTCCAAGGCTAGGTACATAAAGTGAGTGATGGCTCTGGGGCATGTATCAGGTTGACTGAGCAGCTAAACAGGTAGTTCCTCTTGTCCAGCTGTCATAAGCTAGCAGTAACTTTGTAAGCTAAAGCAGCGTGAGAAATGGTCTTGGATAGGTAGAGAAATGCACCCCCTCCCCACCTGGCAGCTAATGAATCATGCTGATGGGGAGCATCAGCACCCAGAAGACAAACTACCAGCAAACCTCCCTATTCAAGTATGGCCTTACTCTCTCCCCATACTCTCTGGAGTTAGGGAGAGAACACAGAAGAGCTGGTGCACAGGGCTTCTCAAATACAAAGCTGAAGAGAGAATCGTCATTTGTGTACATCCGGTAGCACAAAATAGAGACATCTAAAATCATCAGATAGAAGAGTTAGCACCCAAGGAGGTGGAACAGAACAAAAACCACGTGATCTTATGGTACATACACTATCTTCACGGTAACGGGAGATCATTCATAGATAAGACTCAATCAGAGATCTTCCCTGCTTCCCAAATGCTGGTCCCATTTGGAATGACATATTATTTGGCAGCCCCTCACATTAGGTCCTTCACTCATAGAGTAAGAACTAGGCCAGGCATGATAGTCCATGCCTGCAATCCCAACATTTTGGGAAGCCAAGTTGGAGAATTGTCTGAGCCCAGGAGTTCAAGACCAGCCTGGGTAAACAGGGAGACTCCATCTATATAAAAATAAAAAAGAATTATTATAGTAGAAAAGGCCAAGTAGCAGCACTGAAATTTGACTCTATGCAGAAATTTAAAACAGCATCACATAATAGTGGTAATGGCGAAAATTAACACTACCCTTAAAGACTTAAAGAATGCAGAGATAGTGGTTCCTCTTTTTTTTTTTTTTTTTTTTTGAGATGGAGTCTTGCTCTGTTGCCCAGGCTAGAGCCGAGGCATGGTATCGGCTCACTGCAACCTCGACTTCCCTGGTTCAAGCGATTCCCCAGCCTCAGCCTCCCGAGTAAGCTGTGATTACAGGCGCACGACTCCACACCCAACTAATTTTTGTATTTTTAGTAGAGACGGGGTTTTACCATGTTGGCCAGACTGGTCTCGAACTCCTGACCTCAGGCAATCCACCTGCCTTAGCCTCCCAAAGTTTTGGGATTAGAGGTGTGAGCCACCGTGTCCGGCCTTGGTTCCCTGTATACCTGCATTTAATTCACCTGTCTGGCCCCTGCAACTACTGTACTGAATGTAGTATCCTTCCTAAGACAGGTTAGCACAGTCTACAGCTTCGTATCTGTTACGTTTGACCTCATCTCTGCCACCTTTTTTTCTTACTCTCTTTAGAGGCTTATTTGTTTTGTTGCTTATATTCTTCAGTATCTTTCACTGGATTGCCTGTGTTTGATTTTTCGTCCAGCAGTTTGGAACATACGTACCCTAGCCTGACTCAGCTACTGCTTCCCCTTTGCCTCTTCAGTGTGTCTTTGTCGCATTGAGCACACTCGGTTTTTTTTGTTGTTGTTGTTGGGGGGTGGGGGTTTGTTTAAATCGAATTGCCTCCTGCAATACACGGCTCTGTCTGGCATTCTCTTCCCTGTCTTCTTTACCTGGGTAACACCTATTCATCCTCTAGCTGATAACACCGTCTGATAGAACTTACTGAGATGTTGGAAATGTTCTATAACTGCACAGTTCGAGTGGTAACAACTAGCCCCATGTGACTTTTGAGTGCTTGAAATGTGAACAGTGAGAAGGGGAAACTGAATTTTAAATTGTATTTACTTGTAGGTAGTCTAAATTTAAACATCCACCTGTGGCTAGTGGCTACTGTATTGGAACACTCAACTCTGAATCAATAGTCGCTTCTCAGAAATCTTTTACTGATCTCCCTGATCAGGTCAATTCTTTCTAATATAGGTTCTCATGGTAGAAAGTCTTATTTTTGGTTTTAAATAAATTGCAATTTTATATTTATTTGTGTGATTACTTAATGTCTTTTTTATCAGATTGTGGACTTCAATAAGATAAGATTTTGGTTGTCATTAAGCGAGTGCCCAGCATGTAGTAGAGCATGATATATATTTGTTGAACAATTTGCTGAATGAATGAATTAAAACAGTGCTTACCTTTGAGGAGAGGAGTAGAAGGGTAAATAAAAAGGGATTTCTGGCTGGGCGTGGTGGCTCACTCCTGT